GCATAGGTTGCTCTCGCCACACTTTCATGGTGGGTCACGGATTTCATTTCTTTGCCCAGCTCCTTCATTAAGCCCCTCTGAGAGCACAGCCCTGTGCTCACCCCTGGAGGGCCACCTCCTAGCCTGGCATGAAGTCTCCGAAGCCCCTGCCCTCTACCCCAGGGTGAAAGCCCCTGACTCAGTTTCCAGTCTGGTCAGTGGACAGGTGATGTGAGGTGAGAATCCTCTGCAGAGGGGTTCCTTGTAGTGGTTGGAGAGGCCATTGACATCCTCTGAGAATAACACAGAGCGGGAAATGAACTTGAACAGCCCAAGAACTTATGTCATTTTGTCCTCAAAAGCACCCAGCAAATTTGGTGTTATTGTTATTCCATTTTACAGTTGAGGAAACAGACTAACTTGCCATGCAGGTTGCAAATGGTGAAACCAGGTCTCAACTCCCATCTGCGTACCTCTAAAGCCCTCTTGCTCTTCCCACACACCAGGTAGCACCCGGAAATGAGCATTGCTAACAGTAGCAACTGCTTATTGAGAGTGGCTGCTGTCGTCCAGAATCTCAGCCTTCTGTTGCCGCCAGTCCTCCCTGTATCCCTGCAAAGGCTCGTCACTGTTTTTCAGAAGCAGAAATTGAAGCTCAGGAAAGTTAGGTCCATTGCCAAGGTCCCATAGCTAGTGAGCAGCGGAACTGGGGTTTCACTTCAGCATCACGTCACTCCCGAGCCTGCCGCTTCTGCTGCACCCTCTGCCGCCCACTGGCTGCCATGGCTCCTTGTCATTCTGCCCACATGGGCAGTCGCGGAGGGGGCTCACCGATTTCTTTATCCATCAGACCACCGTTGAGTATCACCACGTCCCTGACCCCACCTCCGCCTTCCTCCCCCTTCTCCAGCACAGCAGTGTGGAGCAGCGTCTCCTCAGGTGGGGCATATACTGCTCTGGTTTTGCAGTGATTTTAGGGGTTGACAAATGCGCTTCTAAAAATTTTAATAGTTATGTACTTCTCTTAAAAATATATAACTAGCACCCCAGACCCATGATTTCACACATCTTCCTACCAAGGATAGAGCTACGCGAAAGGAATCAATTCTACTGATTCTGGTCCCTGGGTCTGACACAGTGTGTGAAGGTGGTTAAGTGGAGGACTGGATGGAGTTTGAAGCACGCACAGGAGGAAAGCACAGGGGTTGGGGCCCCAGGGCCCGCGCCCAGTGGCCAGCTTTGCTCCTTACGTCCCAGTCTCCTGACGAGTAGAAGGAGGATCGTCATTCCCACGCATAAAGTTGTAAGGAGTCTGTGGTCTGGTAGGAATTTAGCGTCTCACACGTGGAGGTGTTCTGCGTAGGCTAAGGACCCCTGGCTTGAGGAATCTGGGGTCCTCCAAGCGCCTGCTTGTTTCCCCAGGTTGCCAAGAAGATGTACTCGGTGGGCTGCTATGAGATCTCTCTGGGAGACACCATTGGCGTGGGCACCCCTGGGACCATGAAGGATATGCTGTCTGCTGTCATGCATGAGGTGCCAGTGGCTGCCCTGGCTGTCCACTGCCATGACACCTATGGCCAGGCCCTGGCCAACACCTTGATGGCCCTGCAGGTAATCAGGGCATGTCCCAGAGTAGAGGCACATGTCCATTCTCCCGAAGGGTATGGTGGCAGGACAGCTATGTTTCGTTTATTCTTTCAGCAAGCGTTCACTGTGCTGAAGGCCCACACCTGTGTGCCAGGCCGCGGGCTGGCCATGGCGGACACAAACACGTGACCCTGCCCTAAAAGTGCCTGCATCTGTCTGTTAGGAGAGACAGTCGAGAATCAGGTGACAGTCCTAATGCACTGTGACAGATGCCACGCAGGGAGGAAGCCTGGGGCTCGGCAAGGCCCCAGTCCCAGCTGGGGAGGCCAGGGAGGATTCGCCAGGGGAGGCCTGAAGGACACGAAAGTTAAGCAGTTGAAAAAGGGAAGCGGAAAGGTGACCAGGCAGCACTGCATTGTAAGACTAAGGTGGGGTCAGGGAGGACTCAGGTGCCCCGGCCACGCCCTAGCACACAGGGCTGTGAGTGCGCGTGCGTGTGCCTGTGTGTAGCGAGAGCGGGCAGGAAGTAGGGAGGGAGGCAGAGGTCACTCAGAGGGAGAACCTTTAATGCTGTTCCCCAAAGATTGGACTAAGACCTCAGATTGGGTTTCTTTTGAGTCTTGCTTCTTGCGGGCTGGCCCAGAATGAGGGTCCCATGGCCCAGCAGCCCCTTAGACGGAAATTTCCGAGTGTCTGACCACAGGCTGCCTTGCTGTAGTGATAGTCCGAGTCCAGCCGGTTGTCTTTAGGTTAGCTAGAGCAATCTGGGGCCACCTCATTTTTTCCCCTCTTTCTAGTTCTCATGTTACCTCCTTGAGGCTCATGTCTTTAAGCCAGATGATTCTATTACCTTCTGGGTCTGTTTTCTCAGAGTTGAGGTTTAAGGAGAGAGGAGAAAGTGAAACAGTCATATTAGGAAAGTGGGGCGACTGACCTAGAGAAATGGGATAGGCCCCTGTGGGGTTAGAGGCTTGATGTGGGGTGAGGGAGTGGGAGCGGGGGTGAGTGAACACAGTAAGCACAGGGGTCTGAAACCTCAACAGTGGGAGAGGGTTAGTTTAGGTCGGTGATCGGGAAGGGCCCCTCTGAGGAGGTGGCTTTTAGGCTGAGAAGGAGAAGGTGAGGAGTTGACCATGAAAGGAAGGAGGGTAGATATTCCTGGCAGAGGAAACAGTGTAGCATAAAAGACTCACACTGTTTTAGGAACTAAAAAGAGGAATAGTTTCTTTCAGTGGGCTTTTCACGTCGACGGAATCATAAGCCAAAGAATTTCAGGCAGCAGATGGTAGGTTTACAAGAACCGGCTTTGTAGGCTCTGGTCCCCACAGTGACAGCCATGTTTCACCATCCTTGTTTGCAGATGGGAGTGAGTGTCGTGGACTCTTCTGTGGCGGGACTGGGAGGCTGTCCCTATGCACACGGAGCATCAGGAAACTTGGCCACCGAGGACCTGGTCTACATGCTGGCCGGCTTGGGCGTTCACACGGTAATGTCACCTGCGTCCCGGTGGCGGCAGCCCTGAACTGACCAGAGCTCTGCCTAAAGCCGGAAGACAGAAGCTGCTGGATTTGTTCAGGGTTTTTGTGGTGGTGCTGGTGCAGTTAAGAGAAGGGTGCCAAGGGATTAGGGCCGTTCTGTCATATGTTTTGGGATAACAGCGTGGCAGATGGAGGCCACGAGGAGGCAGGCCCTCAGTGTGAGGGGGCACGGGGGTGTAGGGAAAGAGCCCTGAAAGGGTAAAGCCATGACCTGAAGCGAGTCAGTTTCCTCTGGACCTTTGTTTTGTTCTCTGAAAAATGAGGGCGGCAGAATTAGCCCCCCAGGGCTCTGCCGGAGTCAGTAAGGGCCCTCAGTGTGGGTTGGAAGCAGTGTAGCATCTGTGCTTTTGGATTAGACAGAACTGGGTTTAAAACCTAGTCCTGTCACTCACAGGCTGTGTGACCTGACAGATTACTTCACAGCTCTGGGCCTAGGAAATGGGAATAATAACAGCACCTATCTCACAGAGTCATTATGAGGATAAGAAAATGTGGAATGCTTGGCCCAGAGCTAAGCAGATAGTACACATCAGTAAATAGCTATTGTTATCAAGAGGTTTTCAGTGTGGCCCTTTTAGTTGGTGTTTTTTTTTTTTTTTAATTTTTCACTTATTTATTTTTGGCTGCGTTGGGTTACGTTGCAGGGTTTCTCTAGTTGTGGAGAGCGGAGGCTACTCTTCGTTGCAGTGCGTGGGCTTCTCATTGTGGTGGCTTCTCTTGTAGCGGAGCACGGGCTCTAGAGCGCCGCCTCAGTAGCTGTGGCACACAGGCTTAGTTACTCCGTGGCATGTGGGATCTTCCCAGACCAGGGATCGAACCTGTGTCCCCTGCACTGGCAGGCAGATTTTTATCCACTATGCCACCAGGGAAGCCCTTAATTGGTGTTTTTACTCCTGTTTCTCTCTGCCTCACGGTCCTTACTTCAGTATTCAGTGTTTGACCACGGTGGGCCAGGCCTGTGCTAGACTCTGGAGCTGGAGAACCCCACATGCCACGAGGACACCACCTCACAGGCAACTGGTATTCCGTCGTCAGAGGAACAAGGGCCTGGTTGTCTTCACCCTTACACAGTTTTCTGTCCAGTCTGATGTTTCCCTGGGTGTTGAGGGCATGTCGTGACTTACTGCATCCTCTAACTTGTTTCTCAAAGGGTGTGAACCTCCAGAAGCTTCTGGAAGCTGGGGCCTTTATCTGTCAAGCCCTGAACAGAAGAACCAGCTCCAAAGTGGCTCAGGCTACCTGTAAACTGTGAGCCCCTTGCCCCCCAAAGCCCTGGGGACTGTGTGGGAATAGGGACATGTGTGGATGACTCACAGATGGGCATGTGGAAATGGGAATGAAATCAACAGGAGTAGGCACCTCACTGCCAGCTCTGCACCTAGATCTCTCCTGGCGGAAAGGAGGTGGACTGGAGTTGCCTGGCCTCAGGCCCTCCCTGCCTGACCTGAGTATGAGTAAGAGACTTGGGCAGCTGGAGGTCTCCCTTCACCATGGACCCAAAGGCCCAGGAGTTGGATGCCTAAAGGCACTTGGGAACCCAATTCTCTGACTTGGGTTGATCCTCAAGTCTCATCTCTGGGTGAATCCTGCCAGTTGGCCACTCTGCACAGCCTGATGCTGCCATATCCTCGGGGCCATCGCTCGCTGACTTTGTAGGGCAAAGGGGCAGGGAGGAATTTTTCCCTCAGCTGGCAGAGGGCATTTGGTGAAGGGGTGAGGGCTGAGCTGTGGTGGCCACCTGCCAACTCCAGCACCTCTGGAAAATCTCCACTTTGAACATGATTGTTGAAAGCAGCTTATGTAATTAAAGGTTTAATGACATAACCATTCCAGTGTTCTGTTGTACAGATGTGTGTACATAGGGAAGAGGGAATAAAGCATCTTTTCAACATTTCCTCTAAGAGGAAAACACAGACTTCAGTTTATTAATCTCTGAATTTTCTGCCTCTTTCCCTTCTTGAGAACTGGGGAGGTCGATGGTAATGACAGCGCTGACCAGAGCACCCTGGGGAGGTTGTTTCTGAGGCTCGTGGCTCTGTGACCTGGGCTGTTGCACAAGGTCCTCTGGGCCTGGGCAGGTGCAGCTCTGGGCACACTCAGCTCTCGGGACCTCAGCCTCTCCTGCCTGTCAGCGTCCTTGCTGGACTCGGGCAGGCCCAGGGCACTCAGGCTGTGGGACACACGTGTGCATTTCTTCCTTTGCTCGGGTTTCATCATTCAGTATGTCATGCCTTTATACACATCATTCCTTAGCCCTCCCTTTATTTTAAACAAAAACAGAACACCATTTTCTAACGTACTATTATGGTAGGCAGCGTGCAAACCGTTCCAGGCTGACCGCAATTGGCGCTATAATTCCTGTTTTAGTTTTAGGGCTCCCTTAGCGGTATTTTTTAAAAAAAATATCTATCTAATCTAACCATCTTATCTATCTAATCTAATCCATCTACGCCGGTTCTATCTATCTAATCTAATCTATGCCTGGTCTTCGTTGCTGCGTTCGGGATCTTTAGGTGCGGCATATGGACTTCTTAGTTGCAGCATGCATGCGGGATCTAGTTCCCCGATCGAATCGCGGGCCCCCTGCATTGGGAGCACGGAGTCTTACAGGACCGACAGGGAAGTTCCCTTTGGTGGGTTTTTAAACTAGACTTTCCAGAACGGCAGCTTCTGGGCGACCCCTACCCGTTCCCGTCCTTCGGCGCCGTCCCTCTCGCCTCTGTTCCAGGCAGCCATCTGCTTCATGCCAGGGTTACTAAAAAGAAAGAGTTTGGCAGCTGCGAAAACAGTGGAAAACCTGCGGGCGAGCGTGGAGCCGCGGTCTTCGGCCCCGCGCTTGGCTGTGGCTCCCGCCGCGGGACGGCTGCCGGGCGCCCCTGAGAAGCCCCATCTCCTGGGGCGCGGCGCCTGTCTCCCGTGGTCGGGACAAGCGCTGGCGCCTGGGCTCGCGGGCGCGGCTCCGGGCCATGCCGTGCCTTCCTCCGCCCACCGCCCAGGCACGGGTCGGTACCGCCCTCTGCGGGACGTGCCGCGCAGGCGTCCTGAAGACGTAGCTTCCTTGGTCCTCCCGGCGCCCCGTACTGCGGTCTCCCCGCTGACACGTCTCCTGGGGGCGTGGAGGAGGCGGGGCCAGGGCGGGCCGTCGGTTCTTAAAGGGACTGGGCGCGGAGCTCGGAAGGCGACGCCGTTCGAGGCAGCGCGGGGTGCGTGGTGCGGAGCAGGTTCGGGAGGTGAATGGGGGGTCTGGGCGGGTTTGCGAGGGGCCGGGTGGTCCGCCGGGCGCGAAGGAGAGTCTCGGGGATCTGGGCTGCGTTCTGGGCAGAGTCCCGCCAGAGCGGACCCACCCTCGCTGCTCGCAGCTCCCGCTGCCTTGGCTGGGGTGGCCAGGGTTCATTCATTCCCGGCTGAGGCACTCCTAGTTCGGCCCCCTCCGAGCCACCGCCCGAATCCCAGCCTGAGGCTCAAGTGCACTTGATAGCTCACGGCCCTGCGCCCCCTCCTCTCTATTTTACGGACTGGGAAAATTGAGGAGGCGACAGCTGACCGAGGCCACTCTGCGAGTCGGAGGGAGGCCGGCCTCACCAGCCTTCCTGCCTCCCATAGCTCCTCCGCCACCACTTTCCGGGGGCCCGCACAGTGCATGGAGCTCGGTGGGACGGGGGCGGGGGCGGCTTCAGCGTCAGGAGCAGAGTCCAGCGGGAAACAGTGGAGGCGGGGGGCGAACTGCTTGGGGAGAGGGGCGGGGCTTTGATCCTGGAGATCCAGATTCTAGCCCGGCCAGCACTAGCTTTGTGACTTAAGGCAGTTACTTCACCTCTCTGACCTTAGTATCCTTTTTTGTACAGTGCCAGTAATAACACCTGCCTCATCAGGATATTGGGGGAATTCAGGAAAATAATGCAAAAGTGCCCAATACAGAGCCTGGCACGCAGCGGGCGTTCAGTCGAGCTGGATGAGCCCAGAAGAGGATTGACGCAGCTCGGAGGAAGGCGGCTGCGGGCCAGGCCGCCCGGAATGAAAGACCTCAGTGTCTGAGTTTCCTCCCCCGCCCCCCTCCTCCGCTCCACCGTCTCTGCCCGTAGAGTTTGTTCAGGGTGGTGGTGCACACCTGACAGTGGAGCCTGGGGCCAAGGCCACGTCTACACTACCCTGTTCAGTGCCACCTAGAATTAGGCGGGATCCTTAGCTCCAAGCCGGGAGTGGCATCCGCACAGGCGGAACCAGCCTGGCTGACCTGGGGTGGGGCCCACTCCAGGAGTGCAGTGCTGTAACCCCAGAGCTGGGCTCAGCCTGCCTGGCAAAAGACCCCACCCTGAGGCCGTCTGCTATATTTCCTGCCTCCTCCCAGTTGACCTTTGTGGGAGGGAGTCAGGGGGCTGCTTACCCCAGGAGGTATTAGTCACTGAACCAAGGAGCCAGTTTATACCTAGTGATGGCAGAGGGACTGGGAAGGTCCGAGTCTGAGCAGACAGAACCCCTTCCTGGGCTCTTGGAGTCCCAATGCTGCTGCCTTGTTTCCTTCTGTCCAGAACTGTCCAGTCCCCAGACACCTCGGGGAAGGCAGTGTGGAGCCTAGGGTTCCATCTTCCCAACCCCCGGTCAGTTATGGCACTTGTGCCATCAGTCTCCCCACCTGTACCATGTGGCAGTCCTTTAAAATCACCTCATATGACCCTCACACTACCACGTGATAGTTGGACAGTTATAAACTCCATGTTATAGAGATGGAAACTAAGGCCAAGAGAGAAGTGGTCTCCAAGGCCTAAGGCCAGAAAGTGATGGTATCCAGTCTTGGGCCAGGGCTGACTCCAGACCCACCCTATTAACTAGGACGCACCACTGCCTCCCTCTGACGCCAGAGTCCAGATTGAAGGAGGCCCTGAGCAGGCAGCCTCAGCCACCTCTGAGTCTCCGTCCTGGGCCAGGCGCGATGGCGGAGAAGGTGCTGGTAACAGGTGGGGCTGGCTACATCGGCAGCCACACCGTGCTGGAGCTGCTGGAGGCGGGCTATTCGCCGGTGGTCGTCGACAACTTCCATAACGCCATTCGTGGTGAGCAGGCGGAGGGGGCTGGGGCTCCCAGGGGGATGGAAGGGAAACCCTGCGTTCTGCCTCCAAGAGTTGGGTGTCTGGCCAGTCCCTTGGGAACCCAGCACCCCATCTTCTCTGACTTTGATGGCCTCTATGTGCCCAACCAGGAGGGGGCTCCATGCCTGAGAGCTTGCGCCGGGTTCAGGAGCTGACAGGCCACTCTGTGGAGTTTGAGGAGATGGACATCTTGGACCAGGCAGCCCTACAGCGTCTTTTTAAGAAGGTGGGTGCTTGGCAGGCAGACAGGAAAGGGGCATAGCCAAGGGCCAGGCCTGTAAGCAACCTCTGACCCCAGCTTTGCAACCCTGCAGCACAGCTTCACGGCAGTCATCCACTTTGCTGGGCTCAAGGCTGTGGGCGAGTCGGTGCAGAAGCCTCTGGATTACTACCGAGTTAACCTGACAGGAACCATCCAGCTTCTGGAGGTGAGGCCTGAGGCAAGGACACAGACACTGTGAGGGCCCCTGGCCGGGTACGCAGTGCCAAACACGGTGGCAGAGCCCAAGCTGTGTCATCTTTGCTAGGTCTTTGCCTCTCAGCCTCAGTCTCCCCTTCTGTAAATGGAAGCCCATAGCTCAGCCCCACCCACCTGGGAGGTGTAAGGGGGCAGGAATAGCGTGCGAGGCAGAGGCCACTGACGCCTCCCCTCCACGGGCAGATCATGAGGGCCCACGGGGTGAAGAACCTGGTGTTTAGCAGCTCGGCCACCGTGTATGGGAACCCCCAGTACCTGCCCCTGGATGAGGCTCACCCCACAGGTGGCTGTACCAACCCCTATGGCAAGTCCAAGTTCTTCATCGAGGAAATGATCCGGGACCTGTGCCAGGCAGACAAGGTGAGGGCCCCCTTTGATTCAGCCGTGGCTCCGCTCACGGACCCCTCACAGCCCACCCCCGCGAGCCTGAGGACGGGATCCTGATCAGCCTCCACCAAGGAGGAGGCTGGGGTTCAGGAAGCAGCAGTGACTTGCACGAGGTCACAGCACTTGCAGGGAGGGCCCGATACCCTGCTCCTTTCTAGGGATAGACAACCAGCAGGGTGGGCTCTGGATTCAGCTGGGACGCGCAGCCTGCACCCCAACCCCCATTGTCTGACCTGCGTCCCATAGGCCTGGAATGCAGTGCTGCTGCGATATTTCAACCCCATAGGCGCCCACGCCTCGGGCTGCATCGGCGAGGATCCCCAGGGCATCCCCAATAACCTCATGCCCTATGTCTCCCAGGTAAGGGAGAAGGGAAAGGAAGGGGGTGGCCCTAGACTTGAGGGCTACAGCTGGTGCCAAGGTCCTGGGAAAAGCTAACCTGACCTCCACCCCAGGTGGCGATTGGACGACGGGAGGCACTAAATGTCTTTGGCAACGACTATGACACAGAGGATGGCACAGGTGAGCTCAGAACCAGGAGGAGCCAGGAGTGGGAGCCGGGAGGGAGACTGCGGTGGGACAGAGACTGTACTGCACCCAGCGCCCCACCACCTCCTCCTCTGCAGGCGTCCGGGATTACATCCATGTCGTGGATCTGGCCAAGGGCCACATCGCGGCCTTGAGGAAGCTGAAGGAGCAGTGTGGCTGCCGGGTAGGAAGAGAAGGGAGGGAGGGGAAGGAGACGGAGGCCTGGACCAGTGGGGCCCAGAGGGGTAGTAAGTCCAGCCCCTGGCACGGTCCCTGTTCTCCTCTCTGGGCAGATCTACAACCTGGGCACGGGCACGGGCTATTCGGTGTTACAGATGGTCGTGGCCATGGAGAAGGCCTCGGGGAAGAAGGTAGGCTGGCAGCCCACCCTGACCCACCCCCAGCCCCTCCCACTAACCTACATGACGGGCATCCCAGCACCGCCCTGTTTCCCCAAGCCTGCCTTAGGACTTGACGCCTGAGAGCGAGACCCTGCTCTGGACCTCCATTTCTTGAGGGCCTGGTTAGCAAGTTGGCAGATAAGGCTAGGGCCAGCTCAGCTAAGCTACAACCGCCCCCTCTCTTGCAGATCCCGTACAAGGTGGTGGCCCGGCGGGAAGGCGATGTGGCTGCCTGTTATGCCAACCCCAGCCTGGCCCTCAAGGAGCTGGGCTGGTCAGCAGCCTTAGGGCTGGATAGGATGTGTGAGTGCTAGCCCAACCCCTGACCCTGGGTGCTGGCCTGGCCCCTGGGAGAGAGTCAGGGGCTAGGAAAAGGGCCGCCGGGGGTCTGGCCCTGCCCACTCCGGGCTGTCCAAGGTGGTGCGGGCCCTGCACTCCAGCGTGGACCCTGAGCACAGACCTCGCCCCATCACAGGTGAAGATCTATGGCGCTGGCAGAAGCAGAATCCTTCAGGCTTTGGCGCGCAGGCCTGAGACCCTCACCTACCAGGGACCAGAAAAGGAAGAGAAACAACTGCCTGCTCTCCAGCCTCTGGGAGGAACCCAGGGGCCTCAGAGCCTCCCCTACCTCAGACCCCAACGGTGCCCACTCAGCCCACCAGGCATGAGGCCAAGCGCACCACTGACCAGGTATCAGGGGTCTCTATTCCACAGGGTCCAGGAACCCAGGAGGACCACCAAGAGCAAGTGGGGCGAAGCAGGGCCCTGAGACACACAGAACGCCCTCCTCCCGGGCACTAATTTATACTGCTACGAAGGAGCTTCCCAAAGTATTTAAAATAAAGTTTTCTTACACTGGAGCAGATTCTTGCACGTGATCACACTCTACCCCTTGGATAGAATCATCCAGGCCTAAGAGTTGAAGCAATTTCTTTAATTTTATCGGAATCCAGACACAACAAGAAAAACACCCAAAACTACATGGAGACAGAAGACAAGACATGACTCCTCCCCACCTCCCCCTGGCCCTAGAGTGGGGACAATGTGGGGTGAGGCAGCTGGGGGAGACCTTGAGCCTCAGTCCAGCCCTGCAGGCTCCAGGCCCGCGGGGGCGGAGGGTAATGGGGAGGCAGGGCCCAGCCCCCAAATCAGAATGGCTGAGGGGAGGCCCCCTCGAAGGACTCCGCCCCGTCACCCACACTCCTGCGCAGGGGCAGGGAGCCCACAGCAGCAAGGGGGCCCGGGCCACAGACACATTCATGATTGAGAAGCAGCTGGAGTGGAGGCAGGAGAGACACGATTATCTGGGCAGAATCAGCTGGCGGGAGAGGGTGGGAGGTGGGGCCTGGTAGGGCCCCAGGGGCCAAACCCTGAGGTCACAGGAGGGGCCCAAAGTGGGGCTAGTGAGTGAGGTCCTGAGTGAGTGGGTCAGCGGCTGGGCCCCTTTCTCCCGCTGCCTACAGCCCCTCCAATACTGCTGCCAGGGGGGCCCCCCCCTCCAGGGAAATGGGATAAGAAAGCAGCCCACCCCCTGCGGCAGACAGCCAGGTGGCTGAAGTCAGGAAGGGAGGCCTGGCCAGGCCTTGGCCTGCCTACCCCAGAGGCCTGTGGGAAAAGGAAGGGTCCAGGAGGGTGAGAGGGGCTCGACCGGCTCAGATCCAAGATGGTGCCGCGTGTGCCAAGTCCCCCATGAGCTGGGGGACCGCGCTGGGGGCCAGCAACTGTAGTTAGACAGGAGGCAGCAGCTTCTCAAGAAACTCCTTCACAGCTGCCATCTCCTGGGGGTGGGGGGTGGGGGTATTGTGAGAGGCTCCTGGCTGGAGGGAGGAAGGAGAAGGGCGGGAGTGGGAAGCAGCCCCTCGGCACTGACCTGAGGACAGGAGCTGTGCGTGACCCCGGGGTAAGTCTTGAACTGGACCCTGGCGGGTGTGACAACGGACCGAAGCTTCTCGGCTGTCAGGGCCCCAAACCGTACGGGAACCATGGGGTCCAGCTCCCCGTGACACTGAAGGATGGTCAGGTCCTTGGCACTGCCGTTGGCTGCCTGTGGGCCAGACGGGACTCAGAGAGCAAAGCCAGTGCTTGGGCGCAATCCCCCAGCCTCAAGGAGACAGAGGGCAGGAGCGGGGTAGTGGAGACACTCACCTGGGGGAAGGCCCGGTGCAGAGGCAGCCAACAGCTCAATGCCACAATGCCAGCCAGAGGGTGGGGGCAGGTGAGGGCTGTGTAGAGGGACAGGGCTCCACCCTGGAGGAAGGAGAGAATGAGGGCTCATGAGGGCACAGCTCAACTCCCACCCCCCACCCCCCTCTCTCTCCCCTCACCTGTGAAAAGCCTCCCAGGACGATCCGATTGGCAGGGATCCCATTCTTCATCTCATGCTCGATCAAGGCCTTGACTGGGGGGAGGGGGCATGACTGGGTGGAGGGAAAGCTGCCACAGGGACCCAAGGAAGGGAGCCAAACAGGTATTGCCAGGCACTTTCCTCGGCGGGCAGAGGGGGAGAGGGAGGATGCCGAGGAGGGGCTGGGGCCTTACTGTTCTCTGCTGCCTTCTTAATGCCAGCCTCGTCCTCTGGGGCATCTGGACTCAGCCCCATCAGGTCAAACCTGGAGGAGCAGAGGCGTTGGCAGCTCCTAGGAGACCTGGGCTGGCCCCAGGCAGCTCCCTCAAGCTCCTATTCCCCCTCTCCAAACTCACCAGGAGGGCATCACCATCTTCATGTTGAGTGTCACAGGGATCCGAGGCCTGGGGAGGGACAGTAAGAGGGGCCATGATGCTCAGGAGGGATGAGGAAGCCACAGCAGAAAGCCCAGGTGGGGGCAGGGCAACCCCTGGGGAACCCTCCCAGCAGGCAGGGCCTGTGTTTAAGGTGTTGCCAGGCAACCTGCCACGTGGGGCTGGAGGCTGTGGCTGGGGGCATCGGCAGTAGCAATGGAGAAGCACAGCCCAGCACTCGGTGTGCGGGGTTCCAGCTCAGTCGGTGAGTACTTGGGGAAGGGGTACAGGGGGTGCTAGTTCTAGGAGTCTCAGGTCTAGGAGGCCTTGGGTCTGGGGCTGGACCCTATTCCTGAGGGTTCCACAGGAATGATGAAGGCTGAAAATGGCACTTGTGACTGCTCTGGGCCCCAGGCCCCAGGATGCAGCCGGCAGGAGAACAGGCCTGGGACCACAGGACCACCCCCCATCCTCAGCCCCTCCCCTTGCTGGGGTGACACTCACGCGTGGGGACAGATGTACTTGACGTGAGGGAGCCGGATAGTAGAGAGGGCGTCAGCCCAGCTGTGCCTGTAGGAGGGAAGAGAGAAAAGACACCGATGTGTAGAGGGAGGAAGGGAGGGCGCAGGCCGCTCCAGTCCCGCCCCCTGGGCCCTCCCCCACTTCCCCAGAAACACCCCCTCCCCAGCTCACTCACCCTGTGTCTCCAAGGCCATGTAAAAAAATAACCTGGAAAAGGATCAGAGATGGGGAATAGGGCAGTCACCGTCCTGCTATCACTCTCACTCTGTCCTCCAACTTCTGGCCACCCCTCCCCCACCCCCAAGGACCTGGAGGGGAACTGAGGTGGCAGCCAGACAGGTGATTAAGCCCCTGCCTCCCGCCTGCAGGCTGCTCGCCCTCTCCTCACTGCCACCTCTATTTTCCCCACACCCCCTCCAGCCAGTTCCCCAGCTGGCCCCTTGGGGGCTGCGTGGGTAGCGGATGACCCTTACCGCAGCTGTTTCCCGCTCAGCTCCAGACACAGTGGCAGCATCGGTGAGCAGGGGCACAGACATGGTGTTACCACACATACACTGCAGGGCTCCACGGCTGGGGCCTGTGCACATTCGGGACAGTGGTCAAGAGCAAGAGGAAGGGGAGACAATCCTGACACAGAAGCAGAGCCTCAAACCCAGGGCCTACCCGGGCCATCAGCCCTCAGGTTCTATCCTGGGCACAAAGAAAAGCCAGGCAAGAAGTTCTGGGTCCGAGCAAGCGGGCAGGAAGTTTGCCTTCACTCCAGGGCTGAAAAGCAGGGGCAGCCACCCTAGTGGCCCTGCTTCTGGCCCCCCACACAGCCTGAGGTTGCTGGAGGTGGGCAGAGGCAGGGCTTTGGGGCCGTGGGGCAGGGGAGCCAGGGCATCCCCTGCTGCCTTCTCCCCACCTAACACTCTGTTGGCAGGTAACTGCCTCCTCTCCCTGCTCTCCAATCATCCCCCTTCTCTAGAGCCCTTGCGTCCCCTCCTTCCCAACTCCCGGCCCTACTGGGAAATGAAGGGAAGGAAAACTGCCGGGAAATATGTTTCCAACCCCTACCCTCAACCCCACACACATTTTCTCCAACTTCCCTCCCATCCAGCCCCCATCAGCCTTCTGGCTCAGCCCTTCTCAGAGCCCCTGGGAGCTGCCCATGTCCCCAGAAGGCACACAAACTCCGATCCACCACCCACCTCCTAAACAGTGCCCCCCGCCCCCCTGTATGAGGCCACCTGCTGCTGCCCACTGACTCCAAATAGGTCCCCCAGCTCGACCATGCTCTGGGACTCCCAAACGCACAAAAGAATGCCAAGCTGGCTGGCTCCTCCCGTCCTTAGCATCCTCCAAACTCCCCGGCAGCTTCTGCTACCTGCCCCTAAGTGCCGACCCTTCCTAGCAGCGCCCACCCCTCCCACCCCACCAACTGGCTTCCCCCTCCCCTCTCCCCCGAGCGCCCCTCCGCACAGTAGGATCCCTCACCTCTGACCCTGGGGTTCCTCTTCCCACACAGGAATGCACCTTTTGTCCTAAACTGAGATTCCCTTTCTTCCCCACAGAGATACTTCCACCCTCACCCCAGGCCCCTCCTCTCAGAGTGGTGCCTTCCCCCCTGACCTGGGGTCTTCCTCGCCACAGTAGAAACTTCCACCCTGCCCTATGGTCTCCCACTCCCCACAATGGGAACTTCTGTTCTGACCGAGAGTCGCCCTCCCCACAGTGACAATTTCTATCCTGACCCCGGACCCGCCTCTGGCCACAAAGGGGCGTTCTGCCTTTGACCCTGGAGAGCACCCGCCCCACAATGGGATCCTCCACTTCCGACCCCGAAGTCCCTCTCATCACACCGGGACCCCATCTTCCTCCCCCTCTCTGCCCCCAAAGTCCCCCAGACCGGCCAGCGCCTCTTCGCACCTCACTCCCCACCCCCATCCCTCACAACTGCGGTTGCCCCTCCCCACTCGCCAGTACCCTCGCGGTGGGCCGATGCCCCGCCAGTGCCCTCCCCGGGCCTGCTGGCCCCGGACCACGGTACCTCCACTCCTGGGGGTTTCGAGACCTCTCGGGCGATTCTCCTCTCTCTCCCGCACAGACACACACTCTTCCCCCTCTGCCGCCCCCGCCGGAACTTCCGTTCGAGTCCCGGGAACCCAGCCATCGCGCTGCCGGAAGTAGCCTGGCCAGCGGTACGGAACCCGGAAGTGGGCGTCGGGGTTTCTTCAGATAGGAGCTGCCATGTTGGGTACGGTGGGGCCACTCCCCATAACCAAGCCACGGAGTCTCCGGCCGAATCTAGACAGTGCCTCCGTGGCTCCCACTTGCTCCCACCACCCGTGCATCTCCTGGAGGAAACCTGTCCTGAAGGAGAGGCATTCCTCACACTAGCAGAGCTTCCCACCTTCCCATCCATTTATGGTCTTGGGTTTCCACCACTGGCCCTCACGTCCTGTTCCAGGGTCATGGATGAAGTCATATACTCAGCTGAAAAGACACTTTGAGACCATCTAGTCTTCCAACCTTACTTTAAAGATGAGGAAACTGAGGCTCAGGGGAGGGAAGTAAACAGCAACCTCAGGATTACACTGTGATGCTGCCCCTGCACCTGCTTCCTGAGCTGTAAAACGGT